GTGTTAAGTTTTTCTTTTGGATTAGATTTGTTGTACCTATATACTGCTGAATAAAATTCGTCACGCTTTCTTGCATTTCCAAACTTGACAATAATAGCACGAGGAAGTTTACTCTCTCTGTTTAGTTTAGCCACTCTAGTGCATTTCACGATATCGTCCTTATCGAAACTACAACCCACCACACGGCCACATTGCTCCAAGAGATTAGGTAGGCTCTCATTCCGGTGTTCCGGCACTCCCTGTATCTCCAGATTTTCCTCACGCAGATGCTGCTCCACATTGTTCAAACGGTCCAAGAGTTCTGATACATTGGATTTAAGTATCTTATTTTCCACCGACAGGTCCGAGTTCTCTTTGGCGAGTTTATTCACGGTGTTTCTCATTTCGTCAAAGCCCGCGCTAACAAATTCTATAGTCCTGCGGAAATCAGACAAATCTTCCTTTATGGACGACAGTTCAGTCTTCATGATATTAGAAATTATACCCGGCAATTCCGAGAGAATCACATCATGAACTTGCTCACTAATTGCTGATACAAGTGAGTCGTCTTTTGTTTTTGGCGAGCCAGCCGACACCTGATTTTTAGAATTTTTATTGCAGACACTCTGTTTCCTTCTGAGAGTAATATTTCCCAATACAGATTCCCGTTCCTCCGTCCTAATAATATCATCCTCCTTAAGATTACGCACCGGTGTATTAAGATTTCCCACCTTAGGAGCTCTACTCCTACATTCCTGGCATGGCCATTTTAACCTTTGCTCTTCCACCATAGAGTTATATTGTTTTTGCGATACATTCGCACAGGTGAGATCGTAAAACTGGAAACATTTGCAGCATTTTAAGCGTGCTCGGTCATCAATATGATTCTGACACCCTGCACAGGAAGTGACCGGTGGCGCCATCTATTTGTTGTTTGCAGAACTATTTTAGTATGTTACACTGTTTGTGTTCCAAGACTATTGTAATGAATTCAAAGTCACGGGCTCAAATCCCAGTACTACGTTTTATTTGAATTTTAACAATTCCAGTTTTAGTTGGCAATGAATTTTGTATGGTAACACTCTTACGCAGTAGGCAACCCTGAACTAATGACGTTTCAGAATTTGACAGGTATCACTTGTAGCTAGATGTATTTTAGTCTATGGACACAATAAAAATAATAGAGATGTGGGTAGAAGTTTTTCACTGATTCTATATTTACTTCACTTTGAATAAGTTTTATTATTGTTATTAAGAAACCAAAACAATAGTCTACAACACCATCACAGGCCCGAAATCCAATCACAATTTCTAAATGTTTTTCGGCACAATTTGACCAGTTCCCGCACAAATCGCGAATTAAATTGAGAAGCGTATGCGTCCTTGACAGATAATATTTGACATTATATTATACCTAATGAATGCTATGAAAGTAGATTATGCGACTATGTATTAATGTATGATACCAATATATCAACTCATCCACTTCACGTAATGAAACACTGAACTAAAATCTACAATGTAGTTCCAAGTTACCCCAATCTAAGTTTAAAACAAATCTAACTTCCCATATCCAAGACGTAAAGACGAATATTGCACTCTAAGCTCCTAATACCAAAGTGCATTTTTAAAAGCAGCATATAAAATGTAAGCTTCCATACATTGTACGGTTTATTTACTAGTGACGCGATTTCGTTCTCATTCCAGGATATTGCGTTACTAGGTCAGACTAAGTTTAGAAACATTTAATACTGGATGTTTCCTACAGGATATTTAATATTGAGCTAGACTTTAGCGTCGAATCTTCAAAGAACTGACTAATAACCTATGAATCGCATTAAATTTAACTCTTACGTTTATACTGCCTCGTTGGCCGAGTGGTCGAAGTGCGAGCAAGGGGTCTCGGGTTCCCGGGTCGAGGAAATACTACCGGGTTTAAAAAAAAATCGCATTGGTAGCACGGAGTCTGGAATTGCGTCCGGTATATGGCAATAGGCTCATTCCTTATTACATGGGACTCATAACATAAATAGTGAAAAGTGGGTGTTATATTGTACAGTGGCAATAAGTGTCGTAATGTGCACCTCTGCCTACCGTTTCGGGGTTAAAAGGCGTGATGTTATGTTATGTTATTAAAAGTAACTCACACATCTTTAAGCTTAGACACAATTTGTGGCGATGTTGGTGATGGTAAAAATCACCTAAATAAATCCTGTTGCGTGCAACAATATCAAACGCCTTTAACAAGCTTTCGCGTTCAAATTAGCGATCAGTTAGATTGGAACATCGACCCTTAACTCGTTGAGTACCGTCATTATAGACACAACTAAAGAACAATAGGTTGCGGTCACCGGTGACCGCGCGGTGTTTGACAGTTTAACTCGTCGAGTACCGGTTTTGTAGACACAATTATAGAACAATAGGTTGCGGTCACCGGTGACCGCTTGGTGTTTGACAGTTTAAACGACCCAAGTACCTGGTAAAACCCCTTTATGAAACAGACCCGTCGCCACTTGCCTAAAAACACACTTCATACGCAATAACATTAATAACTTGATTGTGTACAACTCATAAACTATTCGGTAGCCCTTCATAACGTTATCATGATTCGTTCCACGCCACTTTATGCTCTATTATCAGGAGTTTATGCCCTATTATCGAGCCTAATCGTTTGTTTACGTGTCCATAACACTAAAGCTGTCTGCTAAAGTGTTTTATTGACGCGTCTTTATAAACAAAGGGGGCGTTTTCCAGCTGAGACACAGTGCCTGATATTAGAGCTTTCTTTAGTGCGAAGTGCAGTGTGGTCGCCGGTCGTGTAAACATTTTATATCTGTACCATTAATAGCTGCTGCAACATTGTTAGGTTATTGGCTTAGATTAGAAGTAACTGCCTTGTTGGCCGAGTGGTCGTAAGTGCAACTGCCGGGCAAGGGGTCTCGGGTTCGATTCCTGGGCCGAGCAAAGTATTATTGGGCTTTTTAAAAAAAAATCAGTAGTAGCACGGAGTCTGGAATTGTGCCCGGTATATGGCAATAGGCTCACCCCCTATTACATGGTATTCATAACGTAAATAGTGAAAAGTGGGTGTTACATTGTACAGTGGCATAATGTGCACCTCTGCCTACAACTTCGGGGATAAAAGGCGTGATGTTATGTTATGTTATTAGAAGTAACTCACTTAACTTTAAAGCTTAAACACAATTTGTAGCGATGTTGGTGAATTCCAGCCCTTAGTTGATTTGAATTGAGAATTTCATTGCCATTATCTTTGGAAGTGTGCTTCACTTCTATGCACTTCCCTATGGTTGACTGTCAGAAAATGCCTTAAGACATTTAATCCGCCATTCACTGCAATTTTTTTTTTGTGAAGACGTTAAAAATGATTAAAAAGAACGTTGCCCCACATTAGAATTTTCTCCTGTGTCGTGGGTGCGTTTACAAACATACAAGTTCTCATACACAATGACACCCAGACACGAAACAACAATTTGTGGATCACACAAAGTGTTGTTCCGTGCGGGAATCGAACCCGCGACACGTTGCACGGCAGCCGGTTGCCCAGCCACAGCACCAACCGTGCAGCCAACTAAACTAAATTATCCCAAATTCTTCATCACAAAACTCTATCGACAGAGAAGAATAGCACTTATGATAGATGAATCAAAGCCAGAAACAATATCCTACGTAATAGATATTCAATAATCCAAGCTATCGAAACACCAAGAGCAATTCGTCTGATACAATACAAAGCGCATAAAAATAAACCAAACGATCATTCAGATATAGACAGTGCTTCTATTTTATTGCACTCCGAATAGATTCGTATCGAGTCTAGACTAAACATTCAGGACCCAAGTAAGGGATTCGGTAAACCAAATAAGATGCGACGCCATTGTAATGAATGAATGAATCCCAATGAATGGGATGTGAATATTTATTGTGATTCTCGTCCTGAATGTAATAAATTGTTGTGCGATGTTTACTGGTCTGCAGCTAAGATAATGTGTTGTTGTGGAGTTAATGGCATTGATAGTACACCAGTACTTAACTGACGAAGTAATAATTTGTTCATATTATAGAGGTAAATTGGAACTTTGTACGATTCTCAAGCTTAAGGCATTTTTCCAAATAGGGTAGATGCCTAATTTTTATTGTAATGTCCGTCTGGTAGATTATTTTAAATCATTAAACACGTATTTTTTATTTTCTTACAGAAACGAATACTTTCGACGATATATTGATTTAGAATGTCACGTGACGTCACTTCTATGTACATTTTATACGTAGAAAAAATACGTGTCTAATATTTTTTTTATTACCTAACTTACGGACTAATTAGATTTTTAATTTCCATACCCCGTCATCATTCCAATTGTTTCAAGGAGTTAGGAGATGAGATCGTTTTCGAACAGAGCTTGAATTCTTAGAAATTTAATTCAGAATTAAAAACATTACCGAAGAGATACTTTTTTCTAGAACCTCTTTAGATTTCCCTCATCAAGTTTGGGACTGTCGGACTAGATGCCAGTATTTCACACGGTGCCCCACAAAATACAATTTAGGGAGCTTAAAGAACATCATTAATTGCATTCATTAATCTTCATATTGGTCGGCAGAACGTCATCTGAATTGAAACTCTTAATGACCGCGACATTAAATCTTCAAAGGATGAACTAAGTTTATGAATGTGTGTTTAGTCATCAATCATTACCAAAACGGTTGATGCATTAAAACAGTCTGTTTAGAATGAGCTAATACTCGTCATAGTTATAGGAGTAGCAGTTCAAGGACCAGTGTGGATTGGATGATGGTAGTCTGTGGGTGCTATGGCGATGGTGGTACGGCTTCATTCTGGTTCAAACTAATAATTAGTCAAACTTTTGGCATAATCAATGATTCCGTATCACCAGTTCCTGAGTTAGTCAATATTACAACTATACCCATAAATAAGAAAAAGCCTGAAAAACCTATTAGACGCAACTCAAAGTTGATGGAAAATAATAAAGCTATGTACTTACTTCTCGTCAAAATCGTACTGTGAGTTGAGAACGGTGAACATCTTGTTGTAGAGTATGCTGAAGAACCCGTCCATCATCACGTCGAAGTTCGTATCTCCTCGGGTGTAGTACCTGCAGAGGAGAATTATTTTAATAGAAAGTAGAGTTTCGGATTTGAATAAACTTTGCTATAGTTATAGAAGGCTATAATGGACAGACGCAGGGTAATAAAGGGTAAATAATCAAATCAAGCCACCTCAAGATTCAAAGAAAATATTCCACGAGGGATCACATTTGCATAAACGGTCCTCTAAGTACTTAAAAAGGTAGACAAACAAAACTTTCGCAATATATTTATCAAGGACCATAAACTGTAAGGGACTCATAAACATCTCGGATTTTTTTCTTTTTATCAAGCCCCCAGTAAGCTGCTGGAATATTTTACTTTTTCTTTTAATAACAATAAGGCAGAGATCGCGCTCGGTTTCGGCAAGCGTGCTTTTGGGGATTTGCGTGAACTTTGGACTTCGACAGTGTAATCCTGAGATTTAGACTTGCAATACTTTGTCTTATATTAGGATCTTACTTTTATCGTGTTCCGCGTAACTTTCAACTTCTATGAAGATGGAATTTTCTTCGTCATGATCAGATTTAGTAATTTCCTAGTTCCGTTACAGCTGTCGTCTAAATTTTAGAATTTTATTACCTTGACAAATCAGAATAATATACGTTTCCAAGAAGTAATTTCAGAATAACCGTAGTGCAGCAAGCTAACGTGGAATGTGGAATTCATTCGCTTAATGTTTGAAATTTGCGGAGCGAAATACAAGACTGTCTGACTAGAATATATTATGAGAGGAATAGCAGAAATAGTGTTGGTTCTAGGTACCTAGGTAATATTTAATTCTCTTGTTACTGCAGCATATACATAATGGTGTGATAAGACTTATTAATTCTTGGAATATTCTATTCAATGCCAGGATTGTGCCTAGGGTATAAAACCAATAGACAAGAGCTTAAATCGTCGAGTACCGTCATTATAGACACAATTATAGAACAATAGGTTGCGGTCACCGGTGACCGCATGGTGTTTGACAGTTTAATTCATTAACATTGTCTAATTACGACTCTGCTGAAATAAACCCGTCATAATGAATGGTTCTGGTTGTCTATATATATAATCCTGATGATGTCAGATCCCTGTACAGAGTACGATATTAATGATTGGTGATGATGTCATTAGGTTTCATTCATGAAGGTTTTATGAGAATGTAAGATGAATCATAATGTTACCTTTCAAGCTGTTCAAAAAGTTGCTCGAAGACATAGGAGTGTTGCTCGTAGATCATGCCGTACGTTCTCTTGAACATCATGTGGAACTCCTCTCGTGATTGCTTTAACAACCGCCTGAAGAATTCTGGAAAAGAAAATTGATATTTTAAACAAAGTAGACATTTTTTTTTTTAATAATGGCCGGTAAACGAGCAGACGGATCACCTGATAGTAATCAATCGGCGTCGCCCATGGACACTTGAAACACTAGAGATGTTACAAATGCGTTATTATTCTGGATTTTCACCGATTCATGTTTTGATGTTAAATATTCTCTTATGTCATAATTCATTTTTATGAATTCTAACTCATTTTTCATACCAATTCAATTAGCTAGAAAAACTTTATAATGTCAGTTCACATGCAACAAATCAACAATCGAACCTTTACTAATTTAAATAATTTCATCACGAGGTGAATGACATTAGTAAAAACGGAAGATGAACTGCCAATCAAAATATCTATCACAAAGATATTTAGAAGGTATCGGTGTATTATTAATAGAAACTCGTTTATACGAACATTAAATATTATTAGCAGATGCTTCAAACTCCGTAATAGCGGGTCGTAACACTATTATTATAAAAAATATACAACTGCACATCAACCTAACCTAAAAAATTACTACATTCTAATAGATTTTTAACTCTATCACACAAGAATAAGGTTGAAAATTTATCAGAAAATATCGATAGGATACCTTGTAGTGCTGCCGTCTCGCCTGTACAGACTTGTTCCAGTGAGTCACTATTTATAATAACGTCATCTTTTAGAATTACAATTTGAATTTCCAATATGGCGGATAAAAAAAACAAGTGACAAAGGTTCGTTATATTGCAAATTCAAGGCACGCCTGTTGACGATATAAAAGCTGTGCTTAACTGTGACAGATATATTACTTTTAAAATAGATCTAACATAACCGACCGCATACATTTTAAGACGTTTTGAACGTCTAAGCAAATATTAAGTGACTAAACGATTCAATGTATCGATTATGAAGCACTTTTCACGAAATTACTGTTTTTTTTAAGGGGGGAAAATCATCGAATGATTGCTCCCGCCTGGGTGAGGCGGGAGGGAGTGTCACTCTTACTGACTAAAAACCACCCCGTTCCTTCTTCTGCACTTCGAGCCAGAGCCCCGGTAACCCGTTAGGTTCTCCGCGACCGTTATTAGGTTCTCTGCGACAAATTACTGACTGTTTGGAGAGAAGATTTGTTTTTTTTTTTTGGGAAGATTCAGAATTGTATAGACATTTTGATTTTGACTAGCAGTGGTTGGATACGAAGAGATAAAGAAGTGAATCATCGAACTCAGCAGTGTGCTATTATTACCTTAATCCAGTAGAAGACTGAAACAGACTGAGGTTGGTGATAATGGGATGTCTTAGAAAGAGTGAGAGCTAGGAGGATGAGTACAACTGGTTCTTTATAAAATACTAAAATATACTGTAATTTAGAACCCAAAATAAATCTTTAATAAACTACGTTTAAAAAACTGACTTCAACGCCCTCTTTTTTTGACGACCAAACAAAGTTTCACCGAAAACCGCGTCAAAAATGGTTCAGCCAATCGCTAGATAATCGCGCACAAACGAAAATGCATACATACAAACGGGTCAAATTAAAAACTCCGTATTTCTTCTTGAAATCGTTCAAAAAGGTTTTGGTCTAAAGGTTAGTACATACTTAGGTACCTTTGTACATATGAATAAGCCTTACTAAACATCCGCGGTGGACCGTGGTCCTCGACAATGTGTTGATGAATAGTAGACTATTTCTGGCAATGACACTGGTGAACTTTGTTTATAAATCCACATTCGAAGAAACGGATTCACGCGATGCGGCCAGACTTCAGGGAATTTATTAAAGTAACGCCGTTCTTATTAAAAATACAGCTTTACTTAGAAGATTAAGAAGATTGCAAGGTCATGAAGTGAAGAAAAACAACATTATAGCATCACGTCAACAATTAGTATGGATGATATATAAGATGATGATTAAGATATAATACTACGTTATTGCTAAATATGCTGTGTGAATTTTAGAAATGCAAAAATCTTGACTATCCCTTTGTCAATGTGGAAACAGAATGCAGACTCATTAGTTGATAATCGCACTTATGAACATTCGACCAAATTATTTCTATCTGCTATTATTTATCAAAATAAATCTGAGTGAAGTCTAGACCCAAGATTTTCCATATTAGCTTTAAAACATTAACACTATTACGCGAAAATATGTACTAGGATATATCGATATTATACCTATTATAACCAATCGCTAAACAGATGTGCACACAATACTAATCGATAATCAACCTATTGACGTTGTGTGAACACGATATTTATCGATACAAAACAAATCGTCAATACCTATTACCTATGCATCGAAAAAAATGCATTCGCACTAAATAAATGAGTGCCTATTGAAAACTCCGTTTACAAACAATTAACGCAGATTACAAACCTACAGTTAATGAAATAATGCGTTTAATAACTATTTACTGCATAATTATTAGTTATGTGTGCTACAGATTATACACGGCATGGCATCAAGTTCAATGACTCTGTACTTTTTTTCATGGCCGCGGTATTTTTGTCGCGTGCAAAAAGTGGCGTGGACAAAAAATAAATATCTGTACTGTTCGCTGAAAACGTAAATACTTACATACATTTCTAGATAAACGCTCCGTGAATTTAATTATGTTAATTTTAAATCACAATTTATATGAATTCACACTTAGATAGTTTTTGATTCGTTGCCGCCATTCCATTTCATTCAAGTAACAATAATAAATATATTATTTGAAAATGGAAAACCGGCCTGTATTAATCCAGTTCTACCAATAGGTAAGTATTTAATCTGCAATAATTTATTTATTAATGGCAAAAAGGAAAATGGGGACATTATGGAATTATCATAAATAAATACCTAACATTACGCTACCACAAACCGAAAAATACCACAAACAATTTAATATTGAAATATTAAATCGCGTTTAAGTAAATACATGCAAAAAAGTGACGAGCAGTCATCGTTAGTAAATTTATTCAACGCTAATTATTGGAATAATCGACGCACTTCACTGGAAATCAATTTGTGTGTTTGTTTGTAATTGTAGCTAGCAACTAGCTCTAATCACTTGACAGTTTCCGTAAAGCGTTAATAAAAAGAAGGCTTATATCTACAAATAATAATATTTGTGCCAAATCGCGCTGACGATGAAGGAATGTTTGGTTTACGGACGATTGACTGAGATTTAAGTGCAAGTTGGTGTTAGACTAACATACTAACACAACGGTACCTATTCTATATAGTTTATAATGTGCCAAGTGGCTTTGTGAAGCTTCGTCTTCCTATATCATGTACCAGCTAAGTAGGTACTAATCTACAAAATGCTATTTCGGATCCGAAAGAAGTACTTTTGTATAAAATTAGTGTTTGTAAAAGCACTCATGAAACTGAAGAGGGTTTCCTTTCTAGGTAGAAGCCTAAAAAAATTAGGTCCTTTATTTTAGGCGTAATGTAACAACAAGTGTTAACCAAATCGGACCTCTGAGACCTATCTGGGCGTACGATGCCTAAACCATAGGAGTTACACTAAGATAATGTACTAAGAGACCAAATTTTGCCATATATACATAATTGCTTAGATAAAACTTAAATTCATGCTTATGCATCATATTAACCACTTAACAGAATATTAAATTTACGCAATTTTCAAGTAAGTAAGTAAGTAGCGAAAGTGCCATCCATCCAACCAAGTCAATTTTCTTAAAACTAAAAAAGTCCGAATGCTGTAAAAACATCGTTGAACGTCACGAAACCGAGGAAGTAGGAAACAGTTGTTGACGAATAACAAAAATACTTCTAAAGAATCGAATGACGATCGATTACAACAAATATGTTAACAATCCATTTTTTAACTTGCTTACTGTTACTGACCGTTTTTATTTAGCCGCTATTTTTGTTCGAACGCGTTTGAATTTAAAAATCGAATCGCGTTGTTGACATTAGTAAAAATAAAATTTAATAATAATTTTATTCCCTTTTAATATTAATGGCTTGTACCCAAAAATGGCGGCACGTTAATTTTTCTGTTTGAAATTAATCAGATTATTGAAGTAACTACAGATTTATTGAGTAGGTATTTAGTTTGAAATACAAACACGTCGGAGTTTACGCAGTATTTAATGTAGGTTATTAAACCCTTTTATCCCCGAAGGGATAGGCAGAGGTGCACATTACGGCATTTAATGCCACTGTACAATGTAACACCCACTTTTCACTATTTATGGTATAAGTCCCATGTAATAGGAGGTGAGCCTATTGCCATATACCGAGCACAATTCCAGACTTCGTGCTACCACTGAGAATTTCTTAAAAAAACCCCAGTAATAATTTGCCCAGGATCGAAACTGAGACCTCTTACCCGGCAGTCGCACTTACGACTACTCGGCTAACGAGGCAGTACATTATGTAGTTATTTAGGTTATTAATTAAGTTAATTTTCCGCCGGCGACGTCACTCTACGATATTGAGTTTACACGCATAAATTCGTATCCTACAACAATTACTGGAAAATCTTCCCTGATTATTTCGATTAGTAAAAAATTTTAACAATCGATTAGGTGGAGTCATTGAGCCTATACGATACATACAAACAAAACAAGTTTCCTCTTTTAATTATAGGTTATATATAGTAGTTCTATTGCCTAATTAAATAAATATAAGGAAATTCCGCGTACATTAGTTGTATCATATAATATTTGATTACCTCATTAGTTCAGTGCTTCCAAGTGTGACTACATGCCACGAGGTCCTTACGTCCAGTCCCAGACCAAACGCAGGCTAACTGCCAATTTAAAAAGGTAGCCGATCTTAATTCAAAGTCTACATTACTTGATCTAGTTTAACAGTAACTCTATAGAACTAATATTAAAACTCGATCACAATCTAATTTAGGATTGAAATCGGATGGCAAATGGAAATTGGCAGTACCTACCTAAATCTATTTCTATGGGATTTTTTTTTTTTTTGAGGGGGGAAAATCATCGAATGACTGCTCCCGCCTGGGTGAG